CGTATGCAAGTTGTTTTGAGAGCCTAGTGTCAGACTGACAAGCTGGGTATCAGCCAATGCGATAGAGCCAGGGTTACTGGCGAGCTTGTAGTGCGTCGGGAATTTTGGGGATGGGGCGTCATCACAAAACGGCTGCAATGTGGGAGAGACTCAGCCAGTCACAGGGAAGGTTCCGTGCTATGCATCCTCCTGCGATGGAGGAAACTGGTTCTAAATGGGTGCTCCCGAAGAAACAAAGGCTAGGCCTCTCGGGCTCTCCTGAAGCACCTCCAGCAAAGTGGGGGAATGTCAAGATCGGCTGTTTGCTTTGGGGGAAGAAGGAAGTCGGTGCCAGGAAAGACAGTGGAGGGTGCCAATGGAGGCCATGCTGGGGATCGCTGGTCTGAGGAACCTGGCTTGAGATCCCAGTGCTGCCATGAAGAGTGCTGAGTAACCTTGATCCAGTCATTCGCTCTCAGCCTAACCTACCTCTCTGGGTGGTTGTGAAGCTAAACCAAGGGCCAATTATGACCACACTGCTGCCCAAACTCAGTGGCATATAGTTAAATGGCAACCCTGGCTGCATGAGATTTTTTGGGGGGGTCCACCTTGCATGGCTGTCCCTCCAGTCATGGTATTTAACTGTTTATTTATTTATTTATTTATTTCACTTTTACCCCGCCCTCCCCGCCAGGTGGGCTCAGGGTGGCTTCCAAAAACCGATAAGCAGTGATACAATAAAATACATCATTTAAAAACATAGACAAGTCAATATAAAACATTCATTCGATGGCGATAAAAATAAAGTGCCGTTTAGGGACACATTCAGCGGTGCCACCGCGCTAGGTCGTGTTGGATCGGAGTTCACACTGGGCGCTGCTGGTAGGACGTCGCTCCTAGTGGAACGCCTGCCTAAAAAGTTCTGTTTTCATGGCCCTGCGGAACTGTGACAAGTCCCACAGGGTCCTGGTCTCGGCAGGAAGCTCATTCCAATAGGACGGAGCTACAAACGAAAAAGCCCTAGTCCTGGTTGCCATCAACCTGACTTCCTTTGGGCCAGGGAGGTCCAGGCGGTTTTGGGATCCTAATTGCAGTGCTCTCTGGGGAACATACGGGGAAAGGCTGTCCCTCAGGTAGGCCGGTCCCTGACCATAAAGAGCTTTAAAGGTCAAAACCAGCACCTTAAAACGAATCCGGAATGCTGTTGGGGCAGGAGCATAAGAGACCCTCTCTGAGCGGCTCGGTTCTTGCAGGGCTGCCATTGCTTCAAGAGGGCTTCTGTGGGAAAATGTCCCAGTGGCCTGAATTCAAAATGGGGAGGAGTGGGGAAACTCTCCAGATCCAGGTTAGCTGCAACGAGAGGTGTTGGGTTAAACATCTTACGTGTCTGATCTGCTTCCCAAATGCACAGTGCTTTTCCTGATTGGTGAATGCTTGGCTGCATTTGAAAGTATCTATGACGGATCGTGGACTCCAGGTCCTTTGCCCTGCACACTTTGCGTCCTATCAGTGCCCTTTACATTAAGTGTGTTTCCTGTGAGGTCATTGGTTCTTGTGAAAGCACTCGAGGGGCAGCGCTTTTGTGCCCAGCAACTCGATTCTCCCCTGGATGCAGACTGTTGAGTGAAACTTTTTCTCGATGATAACTCTTGGGTTTTTTTTTTTGTGTTCCTCTCCTCTTCTTCCCGCCCCCCATTTTCCAGAGAAAATAATTAACGGCCAAGACTATGAAGTCATGATGCAGATCGACTGCGAAGTGATGGACACCAGGATCTTGCACATCAAAAGCTCCTCCATCCCTCCTTACCTGCGAGAACAGCAGAGGAACCAAACGACATCCTTCTATAGCTCGCCTCCCACTGTCCCAGAGGCAGCCCCTGCAGTGAGAACAATCGTGGAGTCGCCACAGTAGAAGGCCCAAGTTGGACAGTGCCCCAGAGGGACAAACTCACTCACTCCGACCCTCGTGGGTTTGCTTATGGTAGCTTCTGGACTCGGACAAGGGCTTCCCCGTCTCAGTCAACCTGAAGTCCCTGGATATACCCTAACCCAGCCCTTCCAAATGGCCTCCTGCCGCCAATGTTGTGGTTGCTTTCTTGATAACGTGTGCCTCTCCTGCAGCGTGTGGAGTACTTTACAATCCTTCCGCAGTCTTAAGCCTGCGGGGTGGCCGCTCATCTGTTTCATCTTACCAATGGGGGAAAGCAGTCTAAGTGGTTCTTGTGGATCCAGGGAGGAATAAAAAAATCAGGGTCTCCCCAAATGCTCTCAGCTGGATCATTGGCTTGCAGTGTCTGTGTCACTATTTCATTTAACTGCAGGACAAACTGCTACATCCTGAGGAGTCTTCCTCAGCAAGCGGTTCATTGCATACCAAATGCCCACGTGTCGCACATTTGACTGCACACAATCCGGGATGTTTGCCCATCTCTGAAATTCGTAATATAGGATTACTGAGAACATGCATGCACACACGCCCCTAGCCACTGGGACCATAGAAGTTTGGAGGGGGTAAAGTGACAGCCACAGGGGAGGAGGCGCCGCATTGCAACTCTTAAGCCTGGCCTGCCAAGAGGGAGCTCAAAGAGGCTGGTCTGAAGGAAATGCTGAAATGCCAGTTTCTCCAGAGGCCGCTAGATTTTGGCTACAGCTGAACACAATGGTGCCCAGACCAAAGGAGAGCTTTGCCAGAGTTCGGCTTCAGAACGCTCCGTTGCAGCTCCCTTGGGCGTGTTTTTCCCCCTTATCAGCCAGCCTTTTTTTTATAGGGTAGGACAGCAGCATCTTTTCTCTCCTTCACATGACACACAAGCTGGAAACTTGTCACATTTAAATTAGGACATGGAAGGCTGTCCCAGAAATGGCAACATGTAGTAAGAACATTCCCAGAAATGATAGGATGAGTTAATGGCTTGGGAGTTTTTACAAAAGGGGGAATCAAAGCAAAAGTGTGTGTGTGTGTGTGTGTTCATTTCTTTCTATCGTCTTTATTTCCATGAAAGGAGCAAATATATCTGCCTTCCTCGGAAGGCCAGGCAGCTGCAAGGGGCAAGGGCCCATCTTTGTTCGCCTGGTCATGGGCAGTGCTCTGTAACTGATATTTGACCCAGCTCTCGGCCATAATGTTGGGCCAGGGTCAAGTTCTGTCTTTTCAAAGGCCTGTCCTGCCAATGTACCCCCAGCCCCCTTCTGCGTGGCTTGGATCCTTCCCCTGACTTCTTTCCTTGAGCTTTGGGTTTTCAGAGATGGAGGGATCCTGCTGTTATTTTTCCATGTCGAGGAAACTTGCCTTGGCTCCTAGTGGGAGTTGAATAACATTTCATAAACATTCTTTTTATTAAGGAAGGCGTTGTTCAACTTGGAGGCCAAAGTTCCTTTGTGCCCTGATTTTTATGGGGGGGGGGGGAAGGGGGGTAGAGTGTTATCCCACGATTAGCTGTTCCCTGTAGACAGCCATGTTCTGTGCAACTCGATCGTGGTGGAAACAAACAGAGACATTCTTGGAAGGCTGCTTTTGGAAACAATGTGCAAAGCCGCCTTGAAAAAAAGCGAGGGCACAAGCCAGGGGGAAGGTCACCGCACTCGGTCTCCTGTAGGACTTTGGCAGTTGGGCCTTTCCTCGGGGGAAAATCTCTCGGTTTACCCAGCCCTGGGGCGCAGGGAAGGGCCAGGCAAGTAGTCAGCAAGTGAGAAATGAGCATCTGCGGTTCCGCTGTCAGGTATGCCAGCAGCTGCCAGGGTAAGGCTGAGAGCTGAAGGGCGTGTCACCACTGCCATGCCGATCTTGTAGCCCTACCAAGCACATCTAAAGGCTGTGGCCCTCTATTTTCCCAGTGCCACCCGTTGTCCTCCTGTTCTCCTCCAGTCCTTCTGCTACACTGCCTGTTGACAGCCGTCCAGCGCCCAGCCAGGCTTGCTTTTCCCCCCTTGCCGCCACCATGGTGCTTGTGAGTGGGGGAACAAAGGGGGTGTTCGTTCCTTTCCGTTCACCTGAGTGGGAGGCTGCAGAGGGAGAAGGGGCTCCAGCGGCTGCTGAGCTGCCGGACTCAGGTGGGTGTGGGGGGAGGGGGGGCTCACATGGCTGGTGCAGGCACAGTGAGGCCACTGCCGCCAAGCCCGGTCAGCCGGCTACTGACTCACTGCTGGGGCAGTGCTGGGGTTAATTATTTAAAGAGGAAGAAGGAGATTGGATTTATCCCCCGCCCTTCACTACCCAAAGGAGTCTCAGAGCGGCTTACAAACTCCTTTCCCTTCCCCTCCCCACAACAGACACCCTGTGAGGTGGGTGGGGCTGAGAGAGCTCTTGACAGAAACTGCTCTTTTTCAAGGACAGCTCTTATCAGAACTACGGCTTGCCCATGGTCATCCAGCCAGCTGCGAGTGGAGGAGTGGGGACCCAAACCCGGTTCTCCCAGATTAAGAGTCCACGCACTTAACCACAACACCAAACTGGCTAAAGATCATTTAGCCTGATAGAAACTTGTGGGGGTGTGGCTGTAAATTAAGGGGGCGTGGCCCCAAAATGCCCCGCCATGGCTATGGGCTTGGCTGTGCTAGAAGAACACAATTCCCACAGCACACTTGGACAAATAAGAAACCTCCGTCTTGGGAGGGAGGTGCCACATGGGCAGCATTTTCTCAGATGATACCCTTGTCCAGTGCATCAAGTACTACCGTGTTTCCCTGAAAATAAGACACTGTCTTATATTTATTTTTTCTCAAGAAGACACACTAGGGCTTATACCACAAATGCATAGAAATCCTGCTAGGGCTTATTTTGGGGGTAGGTCTTATTGTCGGGGAAACGGTATTAACTACACCCCTCCCAATACACACACACCCTTTCTTTGGATGTTTCCACTGCAGTCAGCAGAGTGGAAGAACAATGCCCCCTGCCCCAAATTAAAACATCTTAAATCACAAACAAGTTAAAATAATTTTGAAATAAGGATTTTTTTTCCTTTGGAAAACCCGAATAAGAAAGCAATTTCTTTGTGGTTTGGGGAGGGGTGCTTGGGGGAGTTTTTTTGGTACCTGGATCAATTTGTCCGCTTTTATGTAGGCTGGGGTGTGTGAAAGCATCCAACAACCAGGCTGTCAGAATGAAGGACAGCTTTTGTCTCTGCTCTTCTTGAGAATAAATTAAAGACCATTAATGTAGAACATTGGTGGATTCGGGTTTTTGTTGTTCATCTGCTTCAAATCTTCTGTTGAATCCAGTTCTGCAACAGCTTATTTAATAATGTTCTGCGTGCCTGCTGTGGCGTCCAAACTCTGTCATCAACTTCAGGCGAGGTAAGCAGAGGAGGAGGGGAAGGCGTGGATTTGAGGAACCCTGGATTTCACTGGGATGACAGCCCTCCCCAAACCATTCCCCCCCCAAGAAACAGCAATAGTGAAAAACATGTAAGCAGTCGGAACCGACACATTCGCCTGTAAACTACCCCCCCCCCACACGCCCATTCTCCACTAGCTACAGAAACAGGAATGTTAAATATACACCAGGTAGGCCAGAAAGGACGAGAGGAGGGGCTTGAGAGTCCAAAATAAAACCGTTAAGAGAGGGCAGTGGACAGGAAGGAGGAGACTTGGGGGGCGGCGGCGGGAAGTAGAGGAACCTGGCCATCTCCGAGCATAGGTGTGAAGGAAGGACGGGGTGACAGGAAAGGAAGGCGCCTGAGGAAAGCTGGCTGAGGCAAGGTGCAAAGAAGCGGCCCTGGGGAAGGACAGCAGTGAGTAGTGGGAGGTGGGGGAAGGTGTCATGTGCAAAGCTGGTGCTGAGGGGAAAGCAGGTACAGTGGTGCCACCTTTACACAGGGAAGAGTGGCACATCCACCCACACGTCTTCTGCTCATGATTCATACCTACACACACCCCTTTTGTGTAGGCATTCCACCAGGGCAGAGTAACAGCCAACTGGATTGGGTACCTCAAGGAATGGCCCCCTCCCTCGCTCTGTTGCATTCTGAGGGGGAAGGCACTGGCCACACACTCTGCATTCCAAGCACTGGAAATGTGTCCTCACACAACAGCTGCTTCCACAGAGGCAGGAGGCCTAGCTCCTTTTGCCTGTACGAATGTAGAAGTCCCACACTGCAATTTATTTATTTTTTGCCTCACCCAGCATCCTGTTTAAAGCGGGCCAGAGTTAGGCCTGAAAGGACATGCTTTCCCCCTCATTCCCCAAAGAAAACAAAAGAGGGTGTGCTTCCCTCACTCCCAAACCAATGTTTTTGAGCTGTTTAGGATTTTAACCTGATAAAACGAATGGGTGCCTCTGTCTGTAAGGTGTCATTCAATCAAGAGTGGAGGAAGATGTTTTATACCCCGCTCTTCATTACTCAAAGGAGTCTCGGAGCAGTTTACAATCTCCTTCCCTTCCTCTCCCCACAACAGACACCCTATGAGGCAAGTGGGGCTGAGAGAGCTCTGAGAGAACTGCTCTTGAGAGCTCAGCTGTGAGAGAGCTTTGACTGACCCAAGGTCACCCAGCTGGTTGCATGAGGAGGCATGGGGAATCAAACCCGATTCTACAGATTACAGTCCGCCATTCTTAACCAGTACACCACACTGGAGCATTTTAAGTCCTGTTGCTTTCAGTTAGATTTCTATACAATGCTTAACTATCCCCACCGAAACCAGTTGCTAGCAGCTTGCTTAACTGGCTGGATCATACTGTTTCACCTAGTTTTAGCTGGGGATTTTGACTATCGCACCAGCACTGTGTTTGTAGCAATGGTAATGTAGTGAGTTGCCCTCATTCTGGGTGCCGCCATGAGAGGGAAATCTTCACTTGGGATTGCAAATGGTTTACGGGCAAAGATCAGGCTACTTTTTTAAGACTATGACCCGCCAGGCGGTGCTGTTTAAGTAAAAGTAATTTAACTCTCGATGCTCAGGGCTGGTCCAAGCACCCCTGTGAATCATCTTGGAAACCAGTAGTCATTACTGTCAGTTGGAACACTGCCCTCGAAATCCAACATAGCTATATGTAACTTCAAAAGAGGCAAGTTCTTTTAAAAAATGAAAGTGAATTGCACAAAGAAAGGTAAAAGGTCCAACCTCCATCAGCCTGGAGGTTATTCAAACCACTCTCAAAGACAGATAAAAACCTTTCCAGAAACTGGGACAAGATACAACCATTGCCAAAGAGTATCAGCATGGTTAGATATCAAAGTCACAATGGCTATAGAAGGCAAGAAGATTTCTTTAAATGTGGCTGCCATTTCTGCCTTGTTCAGACTCATCAGACACAAGAAATCTGCCACCCTGGTGTAGTAAGATGTGTAAATGGGGTACTAAATGAGGAGAGAAAAAGTTAATGCAATTTTTTTTGCAGCATTTTGCTGTCAAAATGATACAGCTTCCCCAACCTCAGCCATCGTTTTCAGGAAGGGCATCTAAAGAATAATGTTAAATTATGTCAGTAAGAAGACAAATTAACTGACAAGTTAAAATATATATATAAAAAATAATTGGGGCTGGAGGAACTTCATGAAGAGTCCTAAAATAACTGAAAGCAGAAATGACTGGTTTAAGTAGGTATCTCCGAAATCAGCATCTGTAAGAGATCATTAGAAGCTAAATGGTATATTACAATTTCTTTAAAAAGGATCCATGGTAGAACAAAAATATTGCAAAAGGAATCTGTAGAACATTAAGCAATACATATAGAAGTACAAATTATATATCTGGGGTTACCAAAAAAAAAACCTTTCAGATATGCTTTTATTTCATATGATGATGGCTGCTAGAATAGTATATGCAAATACAGGAGGAAAACCCAAAACAGTTCTCAAGGGAGTGATACATCAAACTGGGAACTGGCCATAATGAACAGTGCAACTTCTTGCTTACACGTCAAAGATGGGCAACAGAAGACACAATTAGGAAGATGAGTGACTGATACTGAGGTGTAAGCGAGCCCTTTCTCTTGTTAGCAGAGTAAAAGTAAACTGGCATGGGCCAGTATGGAATAGCAGTAAGGAAGTGGCCGAAGGGGTCCATCTTATCTTGTGCTTCAAGCCCTGTAAGTCAGTACCAGTTAGGAATGGAAGTTACTTCCACTCCTGCTTATCAGAAAGTGCTTTATGCTGTAATTTTTTCCCAGTTGACTGTGTTTAAGTGGAACGTTTGGTACTTGTTGTATCCAATCAACTCTAACTTTTGTTCCTACCTTTGTAAATGTTTCTATTTGTAAACCATTTTTTAAAGAGAAAAAAATTCAAAAGTCTGTCAAAGGGAAGCTACATTGTGAGACGGATCCTTAAATCCATTTATTTTGTATATTATTTTTATCCCACATTCCCTACAAGAAATTCAGGGCAGTGTACATCATTCTTCCCAGCCTCCATTTTATGCTCGTAGGAACCTTGTGAGGTAGGTTGAGGGGAGAGTGACTGGCCCAAGGTCACCCAGCAAACTTCCGGGCAGAGTGGCTCTCCAAGACCCTAATAACTACTAAAGTCAAGCACCCCTACTCTGCTGGCTCACTTAATGGGAAGAAGCTTTTGAGAGTTTTTGGTGAAGCACCACCATGAATGGTTGCCACTATCCAGGTGGGGCCTGGAGATCTCCCATAATTAGAACTTATCTCCAGGTGAGACTGCAAGAAGATCAAATCAGTCAATCCTAAAAGAAATCAACCCTGACTGTTCCCTGGAAGGCCAGATAATGAAACTGAAGCTCAAATACTTTGGCCACCAAATGAGAAGGGAGCACTCACTGGAGAAGATCCTGATGCTGGGAAAGACTGAAGGTCAAAGAAGACGGGGACGGCAAAGGATGAGATGGTTAGACAGTGTCATAGATGCAACGAACATGAAATTGAGCCAACTTCAGAGGATGGCGGAAGACAGGAGGGCCTGGCGGGAGCTGGTCCATGGGGTTGCGAAGAGTCGGACTCGACTGTGCGACTGAACAACAACAACCAGGAGAGACATCAGTTTCCCTGGAGAAAATGGCTGCTTTGGAGGGTGGACTCTGTGGCATTATTATCCACTAAGGTCCTGCCCCTCCCTAAACCCCGCCCTCCACAGGCTCCACCCACAAAATCTCCAGGTATTCCCCAACTCAGAATTGACAATCTTGCTGTCATAGGAAATAAAGCTGTCGAACAAAATATTTTTGTCTGAAAGAAACGCTGCATCACTCCTTGGGAACCAACATCTGATAGTGCATCAGAGAGTTTGTCCTACTTTCTTCGTTCCTCAGGCAGAATTATGTTTTATTAGCTGTGGCATAAGCCCTCTAGTTAGGGGAACAGCAATTTGGGTCAGGGCCCTTAAAGCTACAGAGAACATGGGGCTATTTCGCTCCACTGGCAGCGCAGTTAGGCTGATCCAGCAATAACACACAATGACAGAAATGTGAGCAAAGAGTTAACAATTAGTAAAGGGAGTCCAGTTTAACAGAGTTTCAACAATTGATATTTTATTATAAAAATGGTAATGTTTTTTAAAGGATCTCATCTCCAAAGGGGAAGTCTCCTGTTACAATTACAAGGCAACAAAATGGGTCGTCTTCGGCTGGGAGTTTGTACTTGGCAGAACAATTTTTCCATGGTCTCAGGGGAGGCCACATATTCAGTACAAAAAAAAGAAGCCGGGGGTTATGCCCGCAATAAAAAGGGTTGACTTTGGCCTGTGGACTGATCTACAATCCACTTCACTTTCAAAAAGGAAACAAAAATCATTTACTCTCTGATTTGTACAATAAAAAAATATTATTTTTTTTAGAAAAAAGGTGCTAGGGGCCCATGGGAATTGCCCGCGCTGTGTCCTCAGTAAGCAAAGATGACGTCATAGGTCACCTGGTGGCCATTGTCCCACGCGTACAGGAGGCGGTCCTTGGGATTGTAGTCTATCTGCGTGGTGTAGGAGTATTCGTTCTCAAACAGCAAGCGGGGGATAATCTGAGTGTTGGTGTGCGTGTCAAACGCGTAGGAGATGTTGGCGTCCTTCTTGTTGTAACTGTCAACGGCATAGAGGACGCCACAGATGACAAAGGAGTTGCCATAGAAGTTCTTCCGCAGGCCCGTCCTCCAGGTGGTCTCCTTCCGAGTGCTCAGGTCGACGGCGTTGAGCCGGCTGAGGACAATCACCTCCTGGCTGAAGCCTTCATAATTGATGGCCGGGTAAATGATCCACAGGCCGTTCTCGTCCACAGCAAAGTCCACGTCGGAATGGCCACGCCACCGCCACGGTGTCTCCTCCTCGTAGGCCACGTCGTCCAACATGGCCCAGGCTGCCACGTAACGCTGTTTCAGGTCGTATTTGATGAGGTTGCGCGTGAAGGCCCGGTTGTAATACAGGGAGCCGTTGTACACTGCGTGACCTGTCCCCATCCAACTGTAGGGCAGCTTGTAAGAGTTGCTCCATCGGCCTGCGAACCAGAGATGACAGAATCAATTAATGCATGCATTCAATCCCAAACTTGCTTGCTGTCCTGTTAGCTGTCTGCTTAGGAGGTTAAAATCTGGTGTGCTCTTTGAGAAAGACTGAAATTAATTAACTCCCCAAATTTCTCGTCTATGAACTTAAAGGTTTAATATGCGATATTCAAACATTTCCCAAATACCTCCCCCTCCCCCAGTATTTGCTATATATTTGATTTCTGTATGTGACATCACAGCTGATATTAACCATCACTGAAAAGTTAGATGGCAAGTGGATCCTTTGTCCAACTGGCCAGTGAACCATCAGTGGAAATTCTTGACCCAGTGCTGCGGAACATGCATGGAGTAACAGCAGTGCAGTTGGGTGGGCTGCAGTGGCTAGGCGAAGGGAGCAAAACCACCCTTTCCACCACCTACATCAGCAGAACCGCACTGGCAGAAGAAAGAGGTGGAACCGTTGTCTCCTTCCACCTCCTCCCTGGAACCCACTGACCCACGTGGGTACGGCAGCTGCAGGAATCAATTTTCCCAGGATCAGAAGGGGCTACTCCAGGGGAAGAGTGCAAGCAGTTCACGGGATCCAACCTGACGGGCACTTAATATTTGACACGGGACAGTTTATGTGGTTACATATCTGATCTGTGCTAAAATCAAGACCATCAAGAGATGCCAGGATGGAATACTTGGCAGATAGGATAAGAAATTCTGTCAGGATACAAGGATATAAAAACGGTAAGGAAGAAATTAAAATAAATATGTATGCAAATGACATTCTGTTAGTAGTAGTAGAACCATTGGAGGGAGTAAGAGAACTTTCAATTATTTTGAGAGACTTTAGAGAGGAATCTGGATTGGGAGTTAATATGGACAAGTCGGAAATTTTGTTCTGGAATGTAAGTGGAGAGGAAAAGAAAGAAATAGTGGAAATGACAAGGATGGACCCTAATAGAAAACAAATCAAATACTTGGGGGTGAAGATTATTAAAATTGTGGATAAGATACCAGATGTGAATTATAAGGAGGTATGGAGGAAGATTAAGAAAGATATGAGAGCTTGGAAAAATAAGAACTTGTCTATCCTAAGTAAGGTTAGGGCAGTCAAGATGTGTTTAATTCCAAAATTATTATATCTGTTTCAAGTAATTGCGCTCCCGATAAGGAGGAAGTGGTTTAAAACATGGAATAAGGTATTCAAAAACTGGGTTTTTGGAAGTAAAAGGCCTAGAACTCCAGACATAGTAAATTATGCACCAAAGGAAGAGATGGGATGGGCGATACCAAATTTGGAACTGTATTATGAGGCATTTCAATTGAAATATTTAATAGAGATTGGATATAGCGATAGAGTTAAATGGGTGAGGCTGGAAAATGAGATAAATAATAGAATAGGAAGAGAGGGGATTTTTTGTGGCGAGGTGCAGATGGCGTATAAGAAGGCGATTGGACCAAGGAAAATAGCTCTAGGTATCTGGAAAAGTTGGAAAAGGAAATGGTTGCCAGGCTATTCAAAATGGATGCCATTAAAATATATAAATAAGGAATTTACCGATATGGGGTGGTGGAAGAAATTACAAGAATGCGGTTTTTATTGGCTAAAAGATATGTTTGTTGAAGGAGGAACTTTAATTGCAAAAAACAATTTTTCAGAGAAAGTCGGAAAGCAGTACTGGTTAGAGGTGCAAGGACTATACAATTTAGTTAAATCTGAAAGATTAGAGGGGATAAGCAGGGAGAGAACAGAAATTGATGAAATATTAAGCAGAAGACAAGTAAAAGAAAAAGGGATAGCGGGGGCATTATATAAATTGATGGTAAGAGATAAGGAGAGAATGATACGGATTATACAGAATAAATGGGAGGGAGAAGGGTTAATGCATCAGGAAGTGATTCAAGAAATAATGAACGGTATAAATCAAATTAAAATAGATAGATATAAAGAATTGGTGAGGAAATTTATGTGGAAATGGTATAGAACTCCGGCTCAGATAGCGTACATGATTAAAGGAATGAATCCAAAGTGTTGGCACTGTGGCCAAGAAGTGGGTATATACGCCCATATGTGGTGGGAATGTAAAGTTTACAAATAAATGGGTGGGATATAAGGAATGGGTGGAAAGGGGGGAAGCCAATCCAAATATCCAAATACAAATGAAGAATCTGTGCACGTGGTTAAAAATATGAAGATACTACAAGGAGGGAGGGGGGGTAAAATGATTGTATAATGATTTAATGTAAGATAATGTATATAAACTTCAATAATAAAAAAAAATACATTAAAAAAAAAGAGATGCCAGGATGGCTAAAATTACAGCAAGGAGATTTATAGTAGGAGATTTGGAGTCCTGTGGCACCTTCAAGACTAACAGATTCAAGCTCATGCTGGAATGCATTTCGATCCGTCATTCAGGACCGCTGGATTCCTATTAAATATGGCTAAAACACCAAATAATTTAGGTAAAGCTTGTCGTTTGAAATCTGCATTCGAAATTTGAATCTTGGCCGATTTCCAGGATTTGTGAATGTTTGTTTTAGCTACAGAAAGGTCTTCAGGACACGTGCAGGCAACCTGAACTGCCTTATCCCTCTCAACCCACTGGTGGACCTCCTGACGGCTCCTGGTATTTTTGGCCACTGTGTGACAGAGTGTTGGACTGGATGGGCCTTTGGCCTGATCCAACATTGGCGTCTCTTATGTTCTTGTTCTTATGTAACCCCCTCCCCCCCCCTCCAGTAGCTTCTAAGACCTCTCCTTCGAAGCCCGTTTCAGTAACCAGGCGCCCCACTGCATAACCCTCTCCTCCTCTGACTCCCCTCCTGGCTCCACTGGACTCCTCTGCATCCCACCTTTCTCTGCTCTAGACCCACACAGCCCCTCCCATTGGGGAGTTGGGCAGCAGAGCGATTCAGCCCACAGTAGACACCCCACCTTGTTTGAAGCTGTCCAGGCTCCGGAACTCCACCAGGGTGTTCCCGTAGTAATAGTTGGTGACGTAGATCCTCTCGTCCTTGGCAAGCGGATCCTTCATCCAAGCGCCTTCGTTCCGCCCATAGGTGTTCTGGATCATGGGCCTGGAGATGGTGGACAAAGTATCCTTGCACTGGCCTGATGGGGAAGTACAGCAGTAAAGAATAACCCTGCTTGGCATGGTACAAAACGCATGTAAGTGTTCACCATGCTTCGTACAGACACTAGACCAGGCGTCCCTACAACAGCCTTGCAAAAAGGCCAGCGTTATCATCTCCGTCTCTCAAGCAATGCTCCCTCTAAGCTGTGGAGTCTTGTGAGCAAAAATTCTGCTTTGTGAGCTACTGGCATTAAAGTGGTGAGCGAGCGATTTGGCTGCTGCATGAATGAGTTTGCTCTGGAGCCCTCCTTCCTGAGCTGAGACAAAAATGTGTGAGCCGGAGGCTAAAAAACTGTGAGCTAGTTCACACGGAACTCACCTTAGAGGGAACATTGCTCTCAAGTGGGAAACGGGCTTGTCAGTGCTGGATGCAGCCACAGAGCAGTGGTGGGAAAGTGCAGTTAGCAATGGAAACTTAGTAGGCTTAACTTCTCCCCTGGAGTTGCTATTTCCCCTGGGTAGCTCTCAGTCCTCATAGCCTGGACTAGCCCAATCTCATCAGAGCCCAGAAGCTAAGCAGGGTCAGCCATGCATAGTACATGGATCCCACTTTTCAGCGGTCCTGAAAAGTGGGATCACTACACAGAGGAGGCAATGACAAAGCATGTCTGCTCATCTCTTGCCTTGAAAACTCCAGGAGGTGGATCTTCATGGGGTCACCATGAGTCAGCTGTGGCTTGATGGCACACCTTACCTTTAGCCCTTAGTCAGACCAACAAACTCATCCAAGGCAAGCGCTGAAACTTGTTGTTTCAACAGGGGAAAGCAGGTTTCCTGTCCTGTGCTCCCCTCTGCTCCACAGCACCGAGGGGAGGTAAGAATGGCGGTGGACCTTCAAGGTGACTTGGAGGTACAGTTCCCAAGTTCATGCTGCACAAATAGGGTCGAATCCAAACTAATGTTTCTGCAGGCACGAGGACAGCCACTCAAGCGTGTGATCTGCTCACTCCCCCCCCCCACACACACACTCAACAGACAAAAATTCCCTCCTTCAAAAAGAGAATTTCAGGGGCATTTCAGACTGCTACAGAAGGCGGGTAAATTGCAATCCATGAGTGGATATTCCCGCGCCCCCTGAAATGTGTCATCTGAATCCAAACCCACAGAATGCTCCTACCCCAAGACAGAGTGCCAAATATTTGCCGGCTGCTGCCATCCAGGCTCACGTGGTCTCCGCTATTCTCCCTCCCCGCAGGCAGCATTCAAAATGGCTTGGATGTGCTCTGCTGCAGCCACAGACAGACAAGCCCGCTCTGCCCAGACAGCTGCCTTCTTTAATCCTCCACTCAGAAAGCTTGCCATTTATAGTATTTAAAACCTTCACTTGAAAACTTCACTATTCCCCATGTAAAATAAAAGCATTCTATCCATTACCAATCCAGGCCCGTAGCTACACTGGGGCCTCCCAGGGCCTGGCCCCCTGACTTCTTCCCAAGGCCCCACGACTTCTGGGGTGAAGTGGGGGGAGGCCGCGCCCACCTGCACTCCAAGCCGTGAATTTGTGTCCTTGGAGTGCAGGTGCGCAGCCCCTGCTTCTCCCCCAAAGCTTTTAAGTAAAGGTAAAGGTAAAGGTTCCCTTGCTCGAAAGCCAGTCAAGTCCGACTCTCCATTTCAAAGCCGAAGAGCCAGTGCTGTCCGAAGACGTTTCCGTGGTCATGTGGCCGGCATGACTAAACACCAAGGCGCACGGAACGCTGTTACCTTCCCACCGAATTTATCTACTTGCAATTTCTTGCTTTCAAACTGCTAGGATGGCAGGAGTTGGGGCCAGAGACGGGAGTTCACTCCGTCATGCGGCACCCTGGGTCTCGAACTGCTGGACTACCGACGTTCCACAGCCTGCAGTTCAGTGTCTTAACCACTTGAGCCACCGCAGCTTTTAAAGGGACCCTTTAAGTGTGCTGAGGGAAAAGCGGGGCCACAGGTGAATTTCAATGCCACCTGACTTTTTACAAGGCCCCCCCCCAAACTAAAAAATGCTGGCTACGGGCCTGTACCAATCTATTCTGCGCTTCTCTCCAGGCTGGGCCCACAAGGCAAGTGCCACGCTCACTCCGCTTTGAGTAACTCTGCTGTCACTCACAGGTCTGTTCATAAGATGAAGTTGAAAAGGGAAGACGGAGGAAATAAGCTCACCTATGCTGTTCCTGATATCTTCTTCATCGAAGACTTGTTTTGGGGTGGTGCTGGCAGTGGCCGGAGAAGTCACGGCTTTCGTTGTGGCCGCCAAACCAGGCCCGGCCATTGCCTGTGCTTGGAAACCGACTGTGGCCGCCTTAACACTGTGCAGCCTCATGGTAGCTGCAGTCTGGACCACTGTGGGAGCCTGCGTGGTCGCCTGAGCCGCCATCTTCATTGTCCACAAGACGTCCTCATTCGATGACCCGGTTCCTGAGGAGACTTCAGCAGCCGCTGTGGTCTTTGGAGCCGTCGGTGCAGGAGGGACAGCTGATGAGGTAGACACCAGGGTGGGTTCAACAGAGGGAGGCGCAACGGAAGAGGACAGCGGCAGCATCTTTGCCGTGGTGGTGGCCGTGGGAGCTCCTCCTCCAGTGTACGTGGCGTGCGTAACGGGTTCCTTTGTGAGATCCATGCTCTGGAGCGTGAGGGGTCCTTCCACTGGGAAAGGCTTCCTCGGGGGGAAGATCAGCAGGTCGTTGTGCTGCAGGAGCTGGTCTTCAATCAGCAAATCAATGGCATTCTCGCCGCTGAAAAGTTCGTCCTCTGCCAAAGACACCCAGCAAGAAGAGGGAGTCACCCTTCTCTCCCCCGTACAGTGTGGGAGGAAGTCCCACCAGGAACACAGGGTAACCTCAGATAAATGACAGGAGACCGTGATAAATGATAGGAGACCGTTTCCTTGCATTCTCCTGCCATGTCTGCCCTTCCTAGAACTCATCCAGTGAGCATCAAAATGTTTTGCCTAATCTTGCTCCTACCTGGAATCCACTACTCCCACCAACTACCTCACTGTTCATTTAAAATACCTAGCTAGCCTGATCCCGTCAGATCTCGGAAGCTAAGCAGGGCCGGCCTTGGCTAATATTTGGAAGGGCGACCTCCAAGGAATACCAGGGCCATGAGGCAGGCAATGGCAAACCACCTCTTGCCTTAAAAACAAGTCTGGCTCACCACCTAGTGGTACATAACACTGAAAGAGCTAGAACTTCTGGCTGCCAGACAATCTTGGGATCTCCTAGTTATTCTACACACAATGCAATACGATGATAATTATTAATTACCTTAGGTATAGTGCACGATGGGCCAGGCTAGCCCGACCTCGTCACAGCTCGGAAAAAGCAGGGTCAGCCCTTGTTAATGCTTGGAAGGGAGACCACCAAGGAACACCAGGGTTGCTATGCAGAGGCAGGCACTGGCAAGCCACCTCTGAACATCTCTTGCCTTGTATATCCTATGGGGTTGCCATACATCAGCTGTGACCAGATAGCATGTTCCACAGGCATAGTGTGTGAGCTGCTTTCTCAGGCTCTAAATATCACGCTCCATGTGAATATATAATCTATGGAGCTTCTGGGCCCAATCCAACAGAACTTGAGGAAAGGATTAAAGCGCTTGGGGCGCTTTAGCTTGGAGAAACGACGACTGAGGGGTGACACGATTGAGGTTTATAAGATTATGCATGGGATAGAGCAGGTAGAGAAAGGGGTACTTTTCTCCCTTTCTCACAATACAAGAACTCATGGGCACTCCATGAAATTGCTGAGCGGTCGGGTTAGAACGGATAAAAGGAAGTACTTCTTCACCCAATGAGTGATTAACACTTGGAATTCACTGCCACAGGAAGTGGTGGCGGCTACAAGCATGGACAGCTTCAAAAGGGAATTAGATAAGCCTATGGAGCAGAGGTCCATCAGTGGCTATTAGCCACAAGGTATAGATAGGGGCTCGGGCAAGTGATGCTTTGTCTTCTTGGTGCTTGGGGGGGGGGGTCAACAGTGGGAGGGCTTCTAATGTCCTGGCCCCACTGGTGGACCTCCTGATGGCACCTGGTATTTCTGGCCACTGTGTGATACAGAGTGTTGGACTGGATGGGCCTTTGGCCGGATCCAACATTGGCGTCTCTTATGTTCTCATGTTAACTTGCACTTGCGACTAGGAAAAAGTAACTGGAATCTCCCTGATCAGCTGCTTTGTTGGCTGAGGGAAGGATGGGATCCGTGCCTCGTTGAAAACAGACGGACTCATTTACTGGGCTCCAGCCACAACAGGGAAATTGAGAATTAAAGGAAAGCATGTATTTGCATGCCCGTTCCCCTCTACACTGCTATTCAAGCAGGAACTTTAAAGCTGGATTCTGTGCAAAGGAATCCAAATGTTGAGACAGATTGCAATTGCAGAAATAAGTAGACTGAATGGTGGATTTCAGACTAAATCGGAAGGATGGGCAGTTCAGCACACCAGAGGGAGACGGAAGCATCTACTTAGCAGCGCCAAGTGGTATCCTGACCCTAGACTGCCTGAGGTCAAGAGCAAAAGCTCTGCGGAAAGCAGCATGCAGAGCCAAGACCTCCAGCTGACTGCTACAGCGAGCTGGGGCCCACTTGCAGAACAAGGCAAACACAGCCCCACTCCTCCTTTGGGTTATCCCCTGACTTGGATGGCCCAGACTAGCCCGATCTTGTCGTACCTGGGAAGCTGTGTGTCAGGAGGCGAGGCCAGGGCCCGCCCCTTGGAGCGACCCCCGGGAAGGGAGGGAAGCCGGTGGATGGGCCAACACAAGCTGGCGAGTGACAGAGGAGTCAGTCGTGGCCAGTTGCAAGCGGGACGAAGGAGACCCGACCCAGAGACGACTCCGCCACCCCAAGGCGTCCCAGCCGCCCAAGGAGGGAAAACGGGCCGAGCGCAACTGTGGCCTCTCCGCAGAGGAGACCGGGGAGGAGAGAAGTGGAAGGATGGGCGGGGCCACATGGGAGACCCATTGGCTTCCCTGCTGTAGGGCAGAGCGGGGCTTAGAAGGGAATAAAGAGGAGGGCATGGGACATGACCGGGGATGCTACGTCAAGGATAAAGGTGCGAGTGGGGAACAAGCTGTGAAAAGGGAAGAGGCGGAGGCTCCCGAGGCGGCCGGGGGGGGTAAAGAGAGAAAGACCGGCGTCCCACAGGCCCAGAGGGACTACGCCCCGCCTCGACCTGACACTTGCCCCGAACCTTATCCTTGAAGGGGTTCACTCTGTGAAGTAATGGGGTAGCAACCCACTAGTCTGAGGAAGTGTCTTGCCCAGCCTCGCCTTTCCCAGCTGTAACGATGGGCTCTAGCCTCACCCCGTGGGAACGGAGTCCGGAGGTTCTGACAGAAGCTAAGCAGGGCCGGCCCTGGTTAGTATTTGGATGGAAGACCACCAAGGAAGTCCGGGGTGGCCATGCAGAGGCAGGCAATGGCAAACCACCTCTGAACGTCTCTTGCCTTGAAAACCTTACGGGGCTGCCATAAGTCGCCTGCGACCTGGCAGCCCTTTCCATCACCAATGTGGGTTACTAGCTAACAGGAGTCCTTGTTGACTCCCAGATCCCAGGTTCTGAATGGGATCGGAATTAATGGAGCAACTCATGACCTAAAGAAAGCACCCGGGCTTTATGCCAGCACCCAGAGAGTGGCTTGGATCCTGCCAAAAATCTCCACAGATGAAAAGATTTCTGTCAGCACAGAACTACTTTCTCGCCTCCCTGTTGTGGCCCAAAATCCAACCCCCCAAAAAATTCTGTGCCGGGAGGACAGAGGATCCCTGAGAACAGAATGAAGGGGGGGATGGAGGACTGCCACGGGAGGAGGAGGAAATTGGTGAGACTTATGAAATACATGGTCAAAGAAATTGTATTCCAAGTAGTCATGTTTGGCTGCGAGAGTTGGACTATAAGGAAATCCGAGCGCCGAAGAATAGATTCTTTTTTGAATTATGGTGCTGGAGAAGACTCTCAAGAGTTCCCTGGACTGCAAGAAGATCAAATCAGTCAATCCTGAAAGAAATCAACCCCGACTGTTCCCTGGAAGGCCAGATACTGAAGCTCAAATACTCTGGCCACCAAATGAGAAGGGAGCACTCACTGGAGAAAAAGACCCTGATGCTGGGAAAGACTGAAGGTCAAAGAAGAAGGGGACGGCAAAGGATGAGATGGTCAGACAGTATTATCGAGGCAACGAACATAAAATTGAGCAAACTCCGAAGCACGATGGAAGACAGGACGGCCTGGCGAGATGTGGTCCATGGGTTCGCGAAGAGTCAGACTCGACTGTGTGACACAACAACAACATGAAATACATGCAAAGTATGATTTATGAACGATACGCAAAGCTGGCGGCCTCGTTCTGAAAGGGCAACTCACGTTCGTCAAGGTCGTTTTCCAGCTCGGCGTCTTTGGCCTTGTAATACGTGACCCCTCGAATGATGGTGGGCCGGGAGGGGGCCCTGCTTCTCACGTGGAGCTTCCTTGGCGAAGTGGACTTGGGCTTCGTTGCCTCTGGTGCTTGGGGGGCATAGCGCAAAGACTCGTCAGAGCCAATGTGCTGAGAAACCACGTCATCATGCAGGAAACCTTCTTCATACTTTTCCTTTAAGAGAGCCAGAAGAGCACGTTACACTGTGGGCCGGGGGACGCCTATGCCAAAGAACGTAAGAATCACCCTGCTGGATCAGACTTTAGAATCCATCTAATCCCACTTCTTGTTTCCAACAGGGCCAATTGGATACCTCTAGGAAGCTCACAAGTAGGACACGAAGAGCCAGTGCAGTGCTGTCAGGCTTCCCAGTCAAGACACTCAACAACGTTCCTTCAGAAGTTTCAGTTTATTGAGGACTCGTACTTAGGACATCATGAACTCTACTGTCAGGAATGGCGGGCAAACGGATTGAACTTACAGATATACCCCCTTCATACGTGACCCCCTGATGCAGTAAAGCCAATAAGCAAGCACCTGAAGACGCGGGCAAAAGCAACGGTTATTATTCCCAGCGGGAAGCTAGGAGCTGGCAGAGTAAACCCTTCAAGGACACTAGACAGATAACAGCGCACAGGAGAAGAGAAGGGGGAATGGGAGGAGGGAGACATGGAGAAGAAGAAGAAGAGATTGGATTCATACCCCGCCCTTCACTTGGAGTCTCAGAGCGGCTTACAACCTCCTTCCCCTTCCCCTCCCCACAACAGACACCCTGTGAGGTGGGTGGGGCTGAGAGAGCTCTGACACAAACTTCTCTTTTTCAAGGACAGCTCTTATCAGAACTACGGCTTGCCCAAGGTCATCCAGCAGCTGCAAGTGGAGGAGTGGGGAATCAAACCCGGTTCTCCCAGATTAGAGTCCGTGCACTTAACCACTACACCAAACTGGCAACCCACACATTCCACACCATGGCAGCATTAGCTGACAGGTGCAGGGGTTAGAGTTCCGGACTACAATCTGGGAGACCCAGGTTCAAATCCCCATTCTGCCATGGAAGCTCACTGGGTCACTGTGGGCCAGTCGCCACACACTCCCAGACCAATCTTCCTAACAGCGCTGCTATGAGGATAAAATGGAGGAGAGGAGTGGTGTAAGCGGCTTTGGGTCCCCGCTGGGGAGAAAGACAAGACATAAAAGCAGTAAATAAATGAACCAAGCTGTCAGCAAGCTGCCAAAATGGTTTTTCTTTCGCACATGCGCATACCTTTCTCTACACGGATGCGCATACCTTTCCCCTCTGGCTAATTGCTGTTCTCTCCTGCAAGCTGCACCGCGTATCTTTCAAGGCCGCTGGAGGAGTCCCTTAGATCATTGCTTTGGCTTTAGACGGGCAGAGCCGTGGGAAGCTCGTACCTATTTTGCTTTCGGTAGCAGTTTGTTCCCAGGCCAAATGGCGCGCGCGGGAACCATAGTAATTGGGTAATGCTTATACGAATGTACTATAACTGGTTTATGCATACATCGCCCCTCATTCCTAACAGTGTTCCTGTCCATGCATCTCCAGCTTCAATAAAGTAAAACCTTCTTTGCAAGTGTGTGCTTCCATTGTTGCTGAGGGTCCTGACACAAGCAAGCAGATAAATAAACAAGACTCAGGGTCCATCTATCTCCATTTCATGTTTCCTACAGGGCCAGTCACATGCCTCTGGAAAGACCACAAGTAGGGAATGAAGGCAACAGCCGTCATTGGCTGTATGACCGCCCAGAAGTACACCACTGCCTCTCAAGATCGAAGAGTGAAGAAGAAGAGGATTGGATTTATACCCCGCCCTTCACTACCCAAAGGAATCTCAGAGCGGCTTACAAACTCCTTTCCCTTCCCCTCCTCACAACAGACACCCTGTGAGGTAGGTGGGGCTGAGAGAGCTCTGAGAGAACAGCTCTGAAAGAGCTTATGACTGATCCAGGGTCACACCTGCAGCTGCATGTGGAGAAGTGGGGAATCAAACCCAGTTCTCCCAGATTAGAGTCCGCGCTCCTAACCACTACACCAAACTGGCTCTCTTCAAGGAGGCGTTAAGCTTTCCTGTGTGTCGTGGCAGGATACAGGCCAGAATCACTCTGGATCTCATGCCTGGGATTTGGATTTCATGTTTCTGACCTCATGTCTGAAATTCAGGCCACCGTGCCTTTGAAGAGCTTTCAGAACTTTAAAACGCTTGCTCCAAACATTACGGCAGAGGTCTTAACTGGGGCTCCCTGACATGATCATCTCTCTTCATTTACTGAAGACAGTCTTCTGGTGCATTTCCAAGCTCAGTTCAAAGTTCTGGTGTGAACTGATAAACCAAAGCAGATGCTCAGCCTCAGAGCCACAGCCCCTCGTTAAGTGGCCTTAAAATTTGGTCAAACCAGTATCATCTCAGCCAAGGTCAGTATAGTCTATTCCAACTCACAGTGGCTCTCCAGGGTCTCAGATCAAGATCTTCCACTTCCTCTACAACCTGATCCATTTAACCGGAGATGAACCTGGGACACTCTGCATGCAAAGCAAATGCCCTAATGCAAAGTAAATGCCATCACAAAGCCATGACCCGCTTTTGTAATGGTGGGTGGGTTATGCTTTTGCTTCTCGGCTTGAGAACTGCTCCCATTATTAACCCTCTCTGGAACACTGATGGTCTTTACTGAAATTTTTTACAGCCTTAAAAAAAAAAAATTGTCATTCACTTTTTCTTTTTGTAAAATAAGCACTGCACACACCTCCCTTGGTAGCACTCTGGGAGCACAGTCCCAAGGTACCCGTGAGTGTTTAAAGCTTATCATTTGCAGTGTCCCTCCCTAGGCTTTTATGACTGCCAATGAAGCCTTGCTCCAGGTACCCTTGCTTTTTAAGGTCAGACTATCCTTTCCCAGGAACAGGGCCTTTGCTGCAGTGTCCCTTAGCTTACATAATCTGCTCACAGTCTCTTTCTGAAGACAAGCCAAAACTTCAATCAAGTTTTCAGAAGCTGATGTGTCGATTGCTTAATCAGACTGTATGCTGCCGCCGTTAGATCAGGTGTTAGGTTTTGGTGGTTTGATGCCTGGGTTTCAGTTCTTAGGCTCATAAAGTCTGAAGCGTTGCTTTCCGATTTCTTACTGGAAACCACCTTGGGAGTGTTTTTTTTTTACTTGAAAGGTATTATACAGCTACTGTAAATAAATAGTGTAATACAGCTATCAACCCTTACACCAGCTTTCTTCATCTGAACATTTTTATCGCTGCTCTGGTTACAGGTAAGCGCCCAGCTCCTGATATGAGGCCGTCGTCACAGCTGAATCCACAGCTGCTCTAATCAAGCAGGTTACAATAAGCACTGTAGCTTTGCATACTTTATAAGCATTCTTTATAACACCCATCCCACCTATAAGGACTTGGAAGATCTCCATTCCTACTTGTGTCTGACAAAGGGAACTTTGACTCTTGAAAGCTAAAAATCTTGTTTGGTGTAGCGGTTAGGAGCACGGACTCTAATCTGGGAGAACTGGGTTTGATTCCCCACTCCTCCACATGCAGCTGCTGGTGTGACCTTGGGTCAGTCACAGTTCTCTCAGAGCTCTTCTCTCAAGAGCAGTTCTCTCAGAGCTCTCTCAGCTCCACCCACCTCAGAGGCAATACTCCCTCTAAGCTCTGGAGTCTTGTGAGCAAAAATTCTACTTTGTGAGCTGCTGGCATTAAAGTTGTGAGTGAGCGATTTGGCTACTGCATAAATGAATATGCTCTGGAGCCATCCTTCCTGAGCTAAGACAAAAATGTGTGAGCTGAAGGCTAGCTCACATTAACTTAGCTTAGAGGGAACACTGCTCACGGGCAGTGTTCCCTCTAAGCTGAGTTAGTGTGAGCTAGCTCACAGTTTTTTAGCCTCCAGCTCACAGAGTTTTGTCTTAGCTCAGGAAGGAGGGCAACACAGCAAACTAATATATGCAGTAGCCAAATTGCTCGCTCACAACTTTAATGCCAGCAGCTCACAAAGTAGAATTTTTGCTCACAAGACTCCACAACTTAGAGGGAACATTGCTCATGGGGTGTCTGTTGTGGGGAGGGGGAGGGAAAGGAGATTGTAAGCCACTCTGAGACTCCAAGTGAAAGGCAGGGGTATAAATCCAATCTCTTCTCTTCTTCTTGTTGTTGGTCTCTAATGTGCTGGTGGACTTGAATCTAACTGTTCTGCTGCAGACCAACTACTCTCCGGGCCTCAGGGCTGGATCCCATGGACTGATTCCAGTAGGCGTCATATCCTGGAAATTCTAGGCCCTAGAGAGGTTAAATTTGCGGTGACCAGGACCAGGGCATTTTCGGTGGCGGCTCCTACCTGGTGGAAGGAGCTCCCGGAAGAGATCCGGGCCCTGCGGGACCTTTGTCAGTTCCGCAGGGCCTGTAAGACGGAGCTCTTCCGCCAGGCTTTTGAGTAGGAGCCGCCGCCGCCACTATTCCACCTCCGCCCCCTATGCACTGTCGTATTACCATCATGATTATCTGGACCCCACTGGGGGAGTGAGGTGACCGGGCAGGGATTGGATGACAAGATCTCAGGGAGTTATCATGGAGGTTAAGATCTACCCATCTCGGCTAAATCTGTACTGTAATTTGGTAAATTTGTTACTGTATTTTTATTGTAACTTATTGTTTTATATTATGTGTTTCATTGTTTTAACCTCGGCACATGGTGCCCTTGTCAGCCGCCCTGAGCCTTCGGGGTAGGGCAGGATATAAATTCAAACATAAATAAAATAAGAAATTTCCTCCAGTGGACAGAACCTTCCCCAATGCAAGATGCTTTTCTGATATCAGAGGACGGCTCCTTCCTCTAGAGGAAAGAGCCTCTGCTAGCAGAATGGGCTTGCAGGATCCAACGTTACTGATGGGTTATTCTCTGAAGAGATATTCTGTTCCAACCCTGGAAGAAAGCTATATTTTCCCTCTCCTGGCCCAAGCAGCCATCCCTAGGGGCTCCTTAAGCAAGCTCCAAGTTGCAGCTCACTCTTTCGAAATGACACAATCTCTCCACCAGCAAACCTCCATCTTGCAGCCCGAGAAGCCGTCTCTCTCTCCCAGTCGGCCCTCCTTCCCTTTCCTCTCCTCCCGGATGGATTATGCAGACGTCAGCAAGAGGGCCGACCAAGGGAGGCTGGCAGGACAGGCATCTGGAGGAGCTGTGCAAGGGAGAAAATCTCCGGGGCCCTACCCTGACCTCAGGGCTCCTTCCAGTGAGACTTTAGGAGCAGAACACAGTTTTCAGGCCCACATCTCCCTCGTGGGCTAATGCGGGGCTGGGGTGGATTTTCAAGTGGCAATCTGTGGGGCAGGAGGAGTACTCAACCTTCCCCCCCGCCAGTTCCCCACTGAAAATCCCTCTCTTCCCCTTTATTTCTCTAGCCAAGTTCTAAAACCAGTAATGAGTCTCTGAGGGGAAATAATGGAGACAGAGGGCGTAGAGAGAGTTAGGCCGCTCCCCATTCTCCCCCCCCCCCAGTGCCTCCTGCCCAAGTTCTCCATTATGTTGGCAAGCGAGGACCTGGATCCACACATTTACCACAAAAATTAAAAATAAGAACATTTCATGCAACCCTCAGTGTTTTAGAAAGAGTCCATGACTGAAAAGGCAGACACCGCCAGTACTTTCTGTGGGGCTGACTTGCCATTTCAGTCCAGCATCTGGATTAATCCCAGATGTTGGGTGACCCTGGCTATCGAAACCACGAAGAGAGCTAGCAAGCAAGTGAAATGATACCTTTCTATTGGATTGACATGTTACTCTTTGGGCCATGTTTCGTTTTGTTTTTTAATATCAGTTGGTCCACTGATGGACTTGATAGCAGGGCAGCTATCGATAGCCTCAGAGTCCTAAGTTTTCATTTGAAAAAAAACAAAACATCAAGTTTCTAGCCCTCAGGGCTGCAGGGGAGGGGGGGGCAGCACAGGAAACTGAATTCTTTCAGTGCAGGCCTCACCTCAGTGAGCGTATAGGCAGCCGCAGCATCCCTTTGCAACAAGCCCTGTATGTCAGCAAGGTCATTGGAGAGGCCAAAGGATGAATTATCCTTAGCTTTATGATTCAGCTCTTGCAGAACTTCATTGGCCTTCTGTGTCTTGTGCTTCTGGTCCTGGTGCATGGGGGGAGGGGGGGAGAAAAGAAACAGAAGGTAATTTGTGCACAACACCACCAGGATTTTATCATCGGAGCTTGTGTGTCGTCAGCAAAACATGTAAGAGGATCAATACCTGCAAGAGCCTGCTCCTCCTTCCTTTGTTAAAAAAAAAGAAGAAGAACTGGAAAGAATCTGCTGCAGTGGTCAGCTGCCCCATAATAGAAGCAAGGAGAGGAAGAACTCTTTTGTTCCCCATCACAAGCCAGACCTAGCCTATATTTATTTATTATATTTATGAATCACCCAATCCCTGCCAGAGCAAAGCTCCGGGCGGTGTACAAAAGGCATAAATCAAAAACAAGACAAAAAGCCAGTTAAAACAGTAATAAAACTTTCCAACTATCAGATGGCAAATAATCAGTCCCAACTGGCAGCTACTTCGCAGATGGGGGGGGGGGGGGGGGGCAAAGTAGATGTGAGTAACAGAGAGCAGAGAAGGGTGCCAGCCGAGATGGAACCGTCTCTGTCCTCAATCAAAAGCCTGGTGGAACATCTCTGGCTTGCAGGCCCTGCGGAATTGCATCAGATCCCGCAGGGCCCTAATGGTACTTGGCAGAGAGTTCCACCAGGTTGGGGCCAGTACCAAAAAGGTCCTGGCCCTGGTCTGGGACAGCTGGATACCTTTGGGGCCGGGGACCACCAACAGACTGCTGTCTAAGGAGCGCAACACTTTCCCAGGGACATAACAGAGGAGACGGTCCCATAGGTATGTCGGTCTCTGGCCGCTCAAGACCTTATAGATTAATACCAAAACCTTGAACGTGACTTGGTATTCCACTGGGAGCCAGTGCAGCTGGCACAGCACCAGATGTATATGTGCCATCCATGATGTATATGACTCCCTAGAGGTGATCCACAAATCCCGGAAGGCATTTAGAACTTTTGGAGGCAAACGGGGCATTTGAGAGTTTAAGCAGTCCGTTCTCCCCACTTGCTCTGGCCTCCGACAGCCAGCAGCTCGGCCTGCCCTGCGGATAAAATCCTGGCTCTTACATTCCTCCCTCTGCCACCTAAGGTTGCCAGGTTTTACCTTGGCTGGAGCGAGGGACTTTTGAAGGCGTTCTGGGGTGAAGACAACATGCCAGAGACACTCTGGTATTCAGGCAAACTCTATCGTTTTTTCGACCTCGAAACCATAGAGTTTGCCCAAATACCAGCGTATCCCCATGTGACGTCCCCAGCACAATGACATCATTTCCGGGTAATGTCATCACGTTGGGGCCATTGCACAGCAATGTCCCTGTTTGGGAGGTTTTCCCGGCATTGCCAGGAGAATGGCAACCCTACTGCCAGCCCCCATTTCCCCCTGTCCCCAGTGATCACTTTCTCTGCCTACTGACCCTCTTGCCACCCTGACCCCCAATCAGTTCGGTATTGGGGTGTGTGTAGGGGGGTTTAAAGTGCATCTCACTTCTGCTGCTTCAAAGTCTCTCTCCATTGCTGTCCACCTGCTCATGGGAATGGGAACTGATGAGAAAGACTGTCACGATACCTCCCCATCAGTAGGTGAGCCACAATGGAAGGAGGCATTGAAGCAGAAGCGGCTTCAACCTTCCTCCATCCCACCTGATGCCCAGATGATCGATGGCTGTACGTGTTGCCACTTCCTGTCCAGCCATTCCTTTCCTTTAGGAGCCAGTTTGGTGTAGTGGTTAAGTGTGCAGACTCTAATCTGGGAGAACCAGGTTTGATTCCCCACTCCTCCACTCGCAGCTGCTGGTGTGACCTTGGGCAAGCCGTAGTTCTGACAAGAGCTGTCCTTGAAAGGGCAGTTTGTGTCAGAGTTCTCTCAGCCCCGCCTACCTCACAGGGTGTCTGTTGTGGAGAGGGGAAGGGAAAGGAGTTCACTCTGAGTGAAGGGCGGGGTATAATAAATCCAATGTCCTCTTCTTCTTGTTGTTCTTCTTCCTTAACCGCTTCTTGCCATTGCTTTCTCCACAAGCTTTTAAAAAATTTCCCTCAGAATGCTGACTCTGATCTCGCAAGCTCTTGGTCAGCATTTTGTTGTTGTTGGAGTTGCAAGACCTGTGCTTGTACAGACCTGTCTTCTCCATTTTGGGAGGTTTAAAAAAAAAACAACATTAAAAATTCAGATCTTTCTACAAACCCAGGAGTTCTGTATAGAGCCCCTTTTCTGTATAGAGCCCCATCATGCAGGTTTCTTGATCCACGTTCTTGTACTATATTCAGAATTATATATATTGATAGACAAAACTGCCTTGTTTGAGTTGCTGCATTTTAAAGTTCTGATTTTTTTTACTTATGGTGGCAGTCAGTGATAATGTTGTGTTCTTGGTGAGGATGAAGAAAGAGAAGAAGGAGATTGGATTTATACCCCACCCTTCACTACCCAAAGGAGTCTCAGAGCAGCTTACAAACTCCTTTCCTTACCCCTCCCCACAACAGATACCCTGTGAGGTAGGTGGGGCTGAGAGAGCTTCTTTCGAGAATTGCTCTTTCAAGAACAGCTCTGACAGAATTTATGACTGACCCAAGATCACGCTAGCAGCTGCATGTGGAGGAGTGGGGAATCAAACCCGGTTCTCCCAGATTAGAGTCCGTGCTCCTAACAACTACACCAAACTGGTGGTGGATTCAAGGTTAAGAACCACTGGCCCAAAGGAAGAAGGGATACTGGATTTTCCTGTGTGGATAAGCCAATCCTGCTGCAAATGACTACAACAGAACAAGAGAGCAATATCCAGCCATGTAAACCTGCAGCCATGGTTGCATGTCACAAAAGACTGGTTAAATTGCAATACTTCTGTCTATGTTGAGGATCAGAGCATGACTGGTAGCTCCTGCCACACAGCCAGTCATTTTGTGGAAGGCAACTGAGGGAACTTGCTGTTGCCCTCGACAACGATACCCCAGAGTGCACCTCACCTCTTCGAGTTTCTCCACTCGACCCACCAACTTGGTCGTGATGGAATGCAGCTTCAGCAGGTCGAAGCCATAGAAAGCGCCTTCCAGCATATCAATAACGGCTGCCAGCTGCAGATCAGAAAACAGAGCAGTGAGATCATCTGCCTGAACATGTAAATTAGAACCATTTATTGGTGCTTTGATGAACCAAGCTCACCGGACAGCCCTGGGGAAGCCCAGCTCAACTCACAGGGCTGTAGTAAGGATCACTTTGTATGCTGAATAATTCTAAAGAGACAGTGTCATGCTTAATATCCCGACAGTCCATGCTCCCAATGAAAATAAGTCAGACTCGCTCTCATTTCCAAATATCTATGACAGGGAAAATCTAATGAGGTAGTTTCCCCCAGAGAAGTGATACTCACTCAGTAGCTTGGGAGCCCCCCCCCCCTCATGGATCACTGCCTTGTCGTGGCGAGGGGGCTTGCGTGGTTCGATGAAGCTGTGGGCTATGCCGTGGAGGGCCACCCAAGACGGACAGGCCACAGCAGAGAACTCAGACCAAGCGTGATCCCCTGGAGAAGGAAATGGCAACCCACTCCAGTATTTTTGCCAAGAAAACACCATGGACAGTATCAAAAGGCTAAAAGATATGACGCCGGAAGATGAGCCCCTCAGGTCGGAAGGTGTCCAATATGTTACTGGGGAAGAGCAGAGGGCAAGTACAAGTAACCCCAGGGCCTGGCAAGATCTTGTCCATGGGGTCGCGAAGAGTCGGACTCGACTGTGCAACTGAACAACAACAAGAAGAAGCTTGGAAGCCATGTACCACTCTTTGACATTCCACCTGTGGCTCTTTTTTTTTTTTAAAGCACTGTTCCCTTACATAGCACTTGGTTGTCTGGAGGGGCTTGTGGTTGGCAGGTGGTTCCCATCTCGAAACAGCTGTCGCCAGCGGAACGGGTAGACTGCAAGCCTCCCTGAGGGGCAGGCCTCATACCAGAGATGGAAGCAAATGTGGCTCTTTCAGTGGATGGCAACTGCAAATGCGTCTCTCTGTGAGCCACAGTACCACAGTCCTAGATGTGTACTGCTTAGACTTCAGGTAAAGAGTTACATTGCTGAAAGTTCCTTCACATTTAAAAGATACCTGTAAATAGAAACCTAGCAGCTCAAAGAGGCCTAGCCCTTTTCCCAGACATACGAATTTTCTATGAACACCTTTTTTTAAAAACCGCATAACAGAACAATCAGTCTCGTAGTGCAGCCCAGAAAGAGCTATACCACCCAGTTGTCCAAATGTGTGCCACAGTTCTCACGCCAGAATACTGACAGTGATATTCAGGGAATCAAGGAGGGCAAGGATTATCCACCCTCATCTACAGGGTGCCAGAAATATATTTCATAAGCAAGGCTGGATTTATGCACAAACAAAGTAAGCTACAGCCTTCCATTATGGTAAAGGTAAAGGTAAAGGTTCCCTTGCTCGAAAGCCAGTCGAATCCGACTCTAGGGTTGCGGTGCTCATCTCCGTTTCAAAGCCGAAGAGCCAGTGCTGTCCGAAGACGTTTCCGGAGTCATGTGGCCGGCATGACTAAACACCAAGGCGCACGGAACACTGTTACCTTCCCACCGAAGTGGTACCTATTTATCTACTTGCAATTTCTTGCTTTCGAACTGCTAGGTTGGCAGGAGCTGGAACTAGAGACGGGAGCTCACTCCATCATGCGGCACCCGAGTCTCGAACTGCTGAACTACTGATGTTCCACAGCCTGCAGTTCAGCGTCTTAACCACTTGAGCCACCGCAGCTCCTTTGCATTATGAGGGGGCTTTAAATACAAAAGAATCACTAAGCATCACTAAATTACCATTCCTGAGGTAATGCTCCGAGCCCCTTAGAGCCTAAGCATGCCTTAAGTTGGTCATGATCATATAAGCAAGACAAACAGGCCTCTGCCCCCAAGGAGCACACAATCTAAAATCTACACTGGGGAAGACAGCACAGGAGAAACAAGCATAGTAAGAGATGGATATGAGACAACACAGTGACACGTACTTAAGTCTGGGTGCAGTTGGGATCTCCCAGAGCACTCCTACTTGACAGCGCCCAGGGCAGACCCAGCGTAACATGTAACGGTAAAGGTTCCCTTGCTCGAAAGCCAGTCGAATCCAACTCTAGGGTTGCGGTGCTCATCTCCGTTTCAAAGCTGAAGAGCCAGCGCTGTCCGAAGACATTTCCATGGTCATGTGGCCGGCATGACTAAACACCAAGGCGCACGTAACATGTAGTTGGGCACTAAAGCTGCCAACTCTAGTTTGGTAAATTCCTGGAGATTTGGGGGTGGTGAAGGGTTCTCAGGTTCCCCCTGCTCACTGGTGGGGGATGGGAGGGTGGGGTTGCCAGATCCACATCAGGGAACTCCTGGAGATTTCGGGATTGACCCTGGTAAGGGACCTCAGTGGGGTACAATGACATAGAGTCCACCCTCCAACGCATACGTTTTCTGCAGGGAAACTTGATCTCTTGTAGTCTGGAGATGAGCTGTAATACTGAGGGGTCCCCAGGCCCCACCTGCAGGCTGGCATCCCTAAGGTGGTGCCTCAGGAAGGTGGAGTTTGGATGGGGGGGGCCTTCAGAGGCGATGTGATGTCACAGAGTCCACCCTCCAAAGCTGCCATTTTCTCCAGGGGAACGATCTTTGTAGTCTGGAGATCAGTTGTAATTTCGGAGGCTGGTAACCCTATTTGGCCCCCAGGACAGTGGGCACATACAGCAGAGTCCTTTCCAGCAGGGATGAGGGGGTGGCGAGCAAGATCCCAACAGCTTTTCCCAGTTTCTACACAACAGTGAACATTTTACCTCAGTCAAACCTGTTAAAGGTTTCCTTTTCTCCATGAACAACCGCTACATTATAGTATGTCCAACTCGACATTCGTATTATGAAGATGACTTCCTTTCATTTTTATGAAACTACGGGAAATCCACAGTGTGGCTGGAAAATGTTACATTTGCACTGACCCTGGGTCAACGAGACTCTACAGTAAAAGGTTCTCTTCTTTAAAAATAAAAATTAAACTTTGAATCTCAGGCCAAAACAGAGAAAAAATGCAGCGCTAAATGAATCTCAGAACTGTTGGTGATAAATTGCTTCAAATTGTCTTTGGCGCGAGGCGGCCTTGGATGGCTTCGTTCTGAGTTTTCCCAGCTTGGATTCTAGAGCCAAGGATGTTTGCATAACCCTCTTCGGGGAACCTTGTGAATGAGGCCTCTGGAACGTGGTGCCATTCCTAGACAACAAGGATCTCTGCCACAGCTGGCCGCCATCGGCTCCTTTTTCAGGGAGGCCTCGGGAAAGGGCACGGAGAGCGATGGAGACCCAACGCCCTCTAGAGGCAGGTTTGAGACATGTCACTCTGACAAAGGACAGCATCTCACAGTGGCACCATGACCCAAGTGGCCACAGGGCAAGACCACTTTGAACAGCCGAAGCTGTCTTATGTTCTCATGGTCCCATATGGTCCATGACTATTATGATTACAAGTTGCTCTCCCAACCATGTTACTTTAGTTGGTTTGAACTGGAGGCTCCACAGGTTACTTGATTGAAATGAAGAAGAAGATATTGGATTTATACCCCACCCTTCATTACTTGAAGGCGTCTCAGAGGGGCTTACAATCTCCTTTCCCTTCCCCTCCCCACAACAGACACCCTGTGAGGTAGGTGGGGCTGAGAGAGCTCTGAGAGACCTGCTCTTGACAGAACAGCTCTGAGAGAGCCATGACTGACCCAAGGTCACCCAGCTGGCCGCATGTGGAATAGTGGGGATTCAAACCTGGTTCTCCCAGATTAGAGTCCAGGCACCTGTTTGGTGTAGTGGTTAAGTGTGAGGACTCTTATCCGGGAGAACCAGGTTTGATTCCCCACTCCTCCACTTGCAGCTGCTGGATGACCTTGGGCAAGCCATAGTTCTGTCAGAGCTGTTCTCTCAAGGACAGTTCTTGAAAGAGCTCTCTCAGCCCTACCTACCTCACAGGGTGTCTGTTCTGGGGAGGGAAAGGGAAAGGAGATTGTAAGCGGCTCTCACACTCCTTTGGTTAGTGAAGGGCGGGGTATAAATCCAATTTCTTCTTCTACAACAAACTGGCTCTCATGATACTACTCATTTAATCTATAGGGTTTTGAGTAAATTCCAGAGGTTGAACCCATACAAAGCACATGCTCAGCCAGTCAGCTACAGTCCCATCCGGAGGCTTGATTATGTACAGACTTAAATAAATGCGCTCGAAAAGATGAAAACAGGAATCCGGTGAACAATTCTATGATTTCACAGTCCTCTGAATTAAAGGGGTTAATTCTTTAATAGTAGCTTACGGCACTTTTCACCTTGACCTGGATAGCCCAGGCTAGCCCAATCTCATCAGATCTGGATGATAAGCAGGGTCAGCCCTGGTTAGTACTTAGATGGGAAACCACCAAGGAAGTCCAGGCACAGAGGCAGGCAATGGCAAACCACCTCTGAACATCTCTGGCCTTGAAAATCCAGGGCTATTTTTGGGCAGGAACGCACAGGAACAGAGTTCCGGCTGGCTCCCAAGTTGGCCACACCCAGCAGGAACTCATTAGCATAACATGTCACACCCAACAGCAGACACTCATTAGAATTGGCTACATTAGGGGTGTGTGGCCTAACATGCAAAGGAGTTCCTGCTACAAAAAAGGCCCTGGGTTTTGACAACAAACAAGGTAAACAGAATAACAAGCAAAAGGTGGGTGTGGCTGGATTACCACACTTCTGGTAACATGGGGGTGCGGCCTAATGTGCTAATGAGCTGTGCTGGCAGGGGTGTGGCCTAATATGCTAATTAGTTTCTGCTGTTGGGTGTGGCCTATTATGCTAATAAGTTCCTGCTGGGCTTTTTCTACAAAAAGAGCCCTGGGTTGTTGCCATTAGTCAGCTGCAACTTGATGGGGGTGTATGTAGAAATGCACTTTGAGCATAGTCTTATACAAGTTTACTCAGTTGTAAGCACTACTTTATTCAATGGGGCTTACTCCCAGATAAACATGCATAGAATTGTATCATAACAGTGCCATCATAAATAGTTAACACCCTCCTTAAATCCACTG